GAAATCTAATTTTGAAGAAATATATTCTAAATGTTGGAAAATATTCTTAGAGCCTATATATTATACACACAAAGGACCATTTTTCTTAATATAAAGTATATTACGTTGACCTAAAACAGGAGCCCTGATTGAAACCTAATTTCTATTGTGGATATTAGAAAATATCAGAGAAAAATATTTAATTTTTCACCGATTCGATTGACAAAAAAAGTTCTAAAGTCATATCATCTTAATTATACGATGGGTCCGATGCGTTCTATTCATTGAGATGTGAAAGATAAAATTTTATATTGTAAACTAAAATTGAATTCTTATAAAAAAAACTAAAATTGAATTAGAATTGGAAACGATTTTAAATATCGTCCATGGTTTGCCGCATCAAAACCTGACCACGGTTTTCGGTTCAGTCAACATCACTCTTTGAAAAATTTAGCCAAAGACAAAAAATATTCTTAGACCACTTGTCATTTCTTATTATAAATTTTCCGAGTTATACAGTCAAATCAGACACAAAAAAAAAACATATTTGTAAATATTCGCACGACACTTTCCTCTGTTGGTTCGTATAGTAGGACCTAATATATATATATATATATATATATATAGATTTGGATAGTTTCTTTATTTGCCCCCACACGGCATATTGTTATGGAAGATGTGACAATGATGAGTTAGATTATCTGAACCATCCCTCGCAACTTGTGCATTGTAATGCTTTAATGTATTCACTATTCACATTCATCCAAATGTATCGATGTGTGTATGTGTGTGTATATATATATATATATATATAAATTTTTGATTTTAAATTTGCAATCATTTGACAAGTTGAGAATGGGCACGGGCCAATTTATTTCATTTTGTTTCTAATGAGATGGTTGTTGAAAGTTGTGGGTGGTGTTTAAATAGGAAGTTGTTTCAATTGGTCATAGCTTGTTTTTTGGGCCAAATATATATAAAACTAATTTAATTTTCGTAGGTTGTGTAATTGCACAATAAC